GTTCATATTCAGAGCTTTTATTTTAGGAAGGCTGCGTTATACACTGGGGGCTCATAAAGGTCCAATTTTTGCACTGAAGTGGAACCAAAAGGGTGATAAGATCCTTAGTGCTGGAGTTGATAAGGTATATAATGTTTGTTCTTATTTTAATATATGTAAGTTTCATTAATGTGTAAATTTTCGAATTTAGGCTCTTTAATTAGTTGTCTTTATGGGGAATTTCTTTAAGAAAAATTTCAGACAACCATTGTTTGGGATCCACTTAAAGGTATACAGGTGCAGGTGTTTCAATTTCACAGTAGTTCAGCACTGGATGTTGACTGGATGTCAGATGATACATTTGCATCGTGTAGTACAGATATGTGCATTCATGTATGCAAATTAGGTTGTGAAAAGCCGTTGAAAACATTCCAGGTAATCTTAATCTATTAAAATTCTCAATTTATTAAGTTAATATTTAAAACTGTGTTGTTTGGGATGTATCTCATTTGTTAAATCCAGTCACCCCTTCATTTTTACTAGATTTCTATATCTTTATGTTACTTCATTCCAAATTAGTCAAATTTTGAAATGTTGTACAAAGACTTCCGTTTATGAAATTTCTTTCCAAAATTTCTATTTTCCACTTCAAAAAGAATGTCAGTAAAGCAACTAAATGCATTGCAGGGCCATACAAATGAAGTAAATGCTGTGAAGTATGATGTATATTCACGGCTTTTGGCTTCATGCTCCGACGACATGACGTTAAAGGTATTTTTTGTTTGAAAAGTTTTGCTGTATTTTATGTAACGGAATTGTAGAAACAGCAGTGAAGGTACCTTGATGAAATAAATCTTTTTATTCTTGATACGATGCACTTCAATTTAAAATGTATCTCAGGTATGGTCAATGAATTACGAAAATGTGGTACACAATTTAAAAGCGCATGATAAAGAGATTTATACAATACGCTGGTCACCAATTGGTTATACGCTCGCAAGGTAATTTTCTTTGTTTTTGTAAGGTGGACAAATTTCTCTGTTGTACGACTTAAATAAAATATTCGTGTTTAAAGTTGTTTTATATCCGTTTAAATTTTGATTAAAATTTAAGCTCTTTCTGAAAGTGATTATTAGTTGCAGTGCATCTTTCGATCATACAGTTCGATTATGGGACATCGAACGAGGAATGTGTGTTCGAACGTTGACAAAGCACACGGAACCAGTTTATTCTGTTGGTTTTTCACCAGATGGAAAATACATTGCATCCGGTTCATTCGATCGTTCTGTTTACATTTGGGATGTGCAGGTTAAGATTTTTTGCCGGCATAACGGAATACAGTATATTCTTCAGAAGCTTTGAGAGCCCTAGATATATTTTGGTTATCTCTCGTAAATCGCATTTTATCTCGCTCAAAATTGCAGTCGTCAAACTACTTATTGAAAAACTGAATACTGAGGGAAATTGGAAAACAAATTATTCTATCTGGTTTTTCAATTTTTCTAAGCTAGAACTTTCTTTTATTATAACTGTTACGAAGTTTTTTTTTTCCTTTTCTTTGTGCTAAAGGTTTGAGAAAGTAAAATCTGAAATTTCAGTCAGGAAAGTTAATTCAAAGCCATACGGGGAGCTTAAGTGATGGTGGGATCTTCGAAGTGGGTTGGAACTTTCGAGGTGATAAAGTTGGTGCATCAGCGAGTGACGGAACGGTTAGAGTTTTGGCAGTGTTACTTGTTTCAGTGCTTCGCTTAGTTTTCTTTTTTTTTTAGAAATTATGTGATTTTCTTTGGTATCTATTATAAATGAATTGTTTTCTACTTGAATTTAGCTGATTTACGCAATCGCTGCAGTGTTCATTATGCGTTATATATTTTAGGTAATCATACTGGACGTGCGCCACATCAAAAATCGATTGTTGTGAAGTTTTAATAGTTGTTAGCTGGGATCATAATTTCATCACTATTCATTTATGTTATTTCAACAATTTGCGACTTGTCGTAACGACAGTCTTTTTTTTTTTTGAAGTATGTTATGGGTTTGGTTGTTAAAAAGAAAAGTGATATATTTCTGTCAGCTTTATCCCGCTTATTCAGTTCTTTATTTCTCACATCTCCCTTAGGTTCGGTTAGAAATTGAACTCATAAGTGTTGTTAAAACAAGTGAAATGTGGTGACTTTATTTGTTGACGTCTCTTGTTTTAGATTTTTTTCAATTTCAATTATTTACTTTTATTGTTTATTACTTTGATCATCGTGAATGGGCAGATGGTCACGATTGGAAACTACGATCATAGGAATGATTAAACTCCCAGTCACTGTACTATTTCGATTAAAATCAGACGTAGTTTAACTTTTGCTGTAATTTATAGGCATAACGTTGTGAATTGCTAACAGTCTGCCTCTTAATTGTATTTCATTACTTTTTTAATTTTATAGTAACATCAACTGCTAAGCCTTGTCCTGTCTTTTTCGTGCTTGTTCCGTTTTGTTGGTTTATACAATATTTTATTGTTACGAACGGTGGGTCTTTTCAGTTTATTCAGCTTTCAGTTTCTTTTTTTTTCACGATTGCTGTATTTTCGCCATTAATTATATGACTGTTTGCTGACTGTTGTAGCTTTCATTTTATCAGGTAAGTTGTGGTTGGAATGTGAAAATTTTTTCCACTTGGCAACGGTGGAAAAAATATAGTTTAAATTAAGGATGTCAGTGAAATGTTTGAGTTTTGATAATTTTACGGATTTAAATTCAGATTTGAGTGCTGTCGTGATAAATTTTTTTGATTCCCAAGTTTTGTATTCGTGTAGCATTACTATCCAGTAAAATTAGCCGAGGAGAAATATGTGCAAGAAAATGGAATATTTCTGAAAAATTTTCATGGTTTTCAGAATGGGTTTTGATGCGCATTTCAAAACTTCATTTGTTGTTGCACATCATGTTTCGTATTTTATAGTTGCTCTAATTTTTACAAGCTCGTCCTCCGTCTTCATGAATTTGAACCAAATAAAGTTAGTGCATTTGAGGGTCTTTTTCAACGTCGGTTTGGGTATTTGATTGTAGATTTGGACTTAGCTTTAAATCTTTAGGAAATAAAATCAAATTTAGGGGAGCGAATTGCAGAGCGAGTAGGACGATTCAAAAAACAAAGTGGATGGATTGGCATAAACATAGAGGGAAGTGACAGGTGAGTTAATTTTGTTGAATGCTGTATTTTTGCTTTTATTGTGCTGTACAGTTTTTTGCAGGGAGCGTTGAAATACTGGAGTGTAGTGCTGGATGGCTATTTAAATTTGTGTAAAAATTCAATTGGGAAAATATACAGGTAAACTCATATTTGTGCTTCAACGAGCTTACATCCTTGTCTTATTGAATTATAAGGAGTCATTTTTACCCGACGTATATCTAATTGCAAGTAATTTCTTTTATGAACTAAAGTTTCAGAAGTCTGAAGTATAGGGTTTAAACTTGGAAAATAAGAAAATGAATGGAGGGGGAAGGATTGTTTCTGAAGGTTTGTTCTTTACTTAATTAACTATAAGTGGGAAAGAGATTTCCCTTGAAAAGAACTGAAGTAAATGACAAGTAGCTCTCTGTTTCATGCTTACTTGCATGGGTAGGTTATTACGTGGTGAGGTGTATTTGTGATGGATGGACATCATTCACAGACTTTCTAACAATATCGACATTGTACGTGTAAAATGCTATCATACTCGAATTTTGCTTTAGAATTTTCTTGGAGAAATGCCTGCTTTCAACACCAGTCCCTGTAATTATGTTAAAGTATAACTGTATGCTTTACAACTTAAATTTTCGAATTTTCCGCTATTGTCGAACATGAGTTTCCCTTCGATCATCATTCTATATTCAATTTTGTTGACTCAATAAGACTCATCGTCTTCCCTTAATAGTCCCAGTGCAACCTGTGGATTGTTAATGATATGTTTCACTTTATGCTTTTTATACGTATAGTAGTGAAAGCAGTACCTTGTTTTCCTCCAGATTGGTATTAATCATCATTGTTATTCGGTCTTACACACTTATCCGGATAAAATTACTGTAGTTCAGCTTCATTAGAAGATTTTGCGCCGATGGATAAATGCGAAGGAAGTTAGTAAAGAACGATGAGAAATATTTTTGTTTAGCGTTTGTGAAAGTTGTTCAGCAAATTTTAATATAGGTGATGACTTGTAAACTGCGTGAAAGAAATAAACTTTATTGTAGGTTTATGACATTTTAATGATTGGCCCTTAGGACCCTATAATGCACTACTACTCGTTTTCTCTGTGTCGATTTGTCCTTACGGAATTTTATGTGGTCTTTCCTATGCTTTCTTTGTTCTTTCTTTTGTTGTCTGGAATTCATAGTAGAAATCTCTTCATGTAAGTTATTTTCTTTTTAATTAATAATTATTACGAATGTCTAGATCATATTTTTCAACGTTATACACGTTTGGCTTTTAGAGTTCAATAACAGTAGCAACGTGTGGCGTTATATTTGAGTTATTCGCTAGAAAAGTGAAACGAAGTGCATTTTCGTTCCAGGCCATTGAAATTGGTCATGATAATGTTCAGAAATAAATCTTCATTAGTTATAGTGTTGTCCAATTTTATCTTTACCAGTATTTTAGAGGGACCGCATTGCTGGTTCGACAACCACTAATTCAAGCTAATTAAGTTTATAAAAACTTCGATGCTTCTGAGAGACATGTGTTTTAGTGTAAACTGATTTAATATGCTGCAGAAGAGATAAATCTGTTACGTAATTGATCGAAGGAAAAAATATTAAGTGTGGAGAATATAAAGGACGAAGAGATCGCATAGAGAGAAATGACTGCCATTGAATAATACAGTGTGGTAGTGAAACTAATGATCGAAATCGTTGAAATAGTGTCATTACTTCACATTAAATAAACTGTCAGCAAAATGGTTTGGATTACGTAAAGAACGTTGGCTTGCATTTTTTTTTTTTTATTTTAGGATGAGATGATTGGGGATTGAAAGGATAGTATTATTGATAAACTGCATGGAAATGAAGAATGTATCGCCTGATTTTACTGTTTTTGGTGCTCTTTTTTCTCAGGTTATTTCCATTTTCTATATAATTTTTTTTCCATAAATTTAGATTTATTATTGTCTAAATAATTGCAATTATTAGATTTATTATTGTCTAAACAATTATTCGTGATAATTACAATTATAATAATTGCAATTATAATATATTATTATTTGGTGTGATGATATATTAGCGGTAACAGTTTACGTAATCAGGAACTGTGTAGGAAGATAGGCAGTATAATTTGATAGTGAAAAAAACAAAACCCATCTAATAATATAAATTTTCATTGGTAATTTTTTGAAACTTAAGCATATTATTGGGGAATTTATGACCTTCAAATTTTGTCGAAAATGAAGAGAGAATAATTCGAATCAGACATTTCTCGTAATGATGCACAATTTTTAGATTCCAAGCAAACGAGAATGGAAGAGTATGAAATTTTGCCTGAATCAGAAGGCATCCTGTTTCGATATCAGTCCTGATGGTTCTTCTTTCTTGATCGGTGGAGATAATGGTCAACTCATCACCTTATGCATATCGTGTGTAATCTGTTTACTACTTGCTCTACGGCATAAGTAGTAGTACGGAGTCTATACCTCTTTCCGCATGTATTTAGGATCTGAGAAAATTAGAGAAGTATTGTTGTGTTTGGCAGAATGAAAAAAGGAGGCAAGATACCGATGTATGTAGAGTTTTTCTTGTTGGTTGATTAAAATTCTAACCCAGTCATCCGTCACAAAATTAGCATTTTGTCGTTTGAGTATTAAGGGATGGAGAATTGATAGTATCAGATTCTTGCGAACGGCACCAGTCCAGAATCACCGACATTGCATTCAACCCAACAGCCGATTTAATTGCTACCTGTTCTAATGAGAATAAAATTGAGCTGTCCTCGTTTCAAGCAGATCTCTTTAAATCAGGTCTGAATGAAGCAATTTTAACTTTAAAGTGCTTATCTATTTGCTTTTCGATGAAATAGATGTTGCTATGAAATTCTCAGCATTTAATTGTAGTTCTTGCTGTTATATTTTGATCCAGTAGTGGGTTTCAACAGTGTATGCATTCAGTACATCAGTGATAAGAGAAACAGAAACACCAGATATCTGTTAGTAAAGTATAAACAGGGTTTCATTTCTATCATTTCTATGAGTCATCTTGAAACGCAGTGAAATAAATTCAGGAGACCGGAGGATTAGTATGTCGATGAACGAACCTGTACGTGCACTTACATTTATGGAAGATTTAGCCAATCATTCCAATATTTTGTTTTCTGGTACCGGTCGTCAAATATGTATTACCGACTGTTCTTCGGGTACTACGTTTCGTGTCTTGAAAGGTCATAAAGGTAAGCTATCGCCATTAAAAGAATATTGTGAGCAGTTTCCATTGCATACGATGTGGACAAATTTAATTAAAAGGAGGAATCTTGGCAATGAATGATTTACAAATCGTAGCCCAATGACCGTGACTCGATTGCATTACTCAGTAGTTACTGTAGTTAAGTGAATTTTGAAATTTTGGATTAGAAGTAAAAAGAAAAAATGAAATTGAATGAAGTTTATACTAAATCATTAGAGAGAGGAAGTTTACTTGAAATCAAAAAAAAATTTGAAATTTAAAATTTAAAATTTGAGTTTGTACTATAGGTGTTGTAACATCACTTTGTACATGGGGTGGTTGTCTATTTGCCAGCTCATCGACTGACAAAACTATCCGCATTTGGGATACGCGTGTCACTGAAGCTGTCAGAATATTCGATCCACTTACAAAACCTGGAGGTTTGCTCTTTGAAATGTACACTTTTCGAAAAAGAAAACGCAATACAGAGCATACCACAAGTTTTTTTTTATTTGAATGCCTTTTTCTATTTCTCACTTCTTAATGAAATTCTCTACTATAATTAATTTACTGGATTTGCGTATGTTGAAATTGCGGTACAAAGTAGTCTCAAGATTCAAGTTCCATGTTAGTAAATATGGATAGAATTTAATGTTACGTTCGCTATCAAGTCATAAAAAGCACTGGCAATTTGTTAATTATCAAGCAGTGGGTGCTTTTCACGTGGATGGCAGCGGTCGAATTTTGATACGTGGTGACGCAAGTGGTGAAGCACATGTTTATGATACATCAGCAACTAAGAAAATCATAACGAAGCGGATTTCCACACAACCAATTTCATGCCTTCGTATTGCTAACTCACAACGGTTTATGGCTGTTGCTGATGAAAAAAAGTAATGAATCTCTGAAAGTCAAATTCAGATGAAATGTGAAAGTACTGGTTTTCATTTCATGTTTTCTGATTAATTCGATTCAACTTAATTCATGAAAATTTTGTTTTATGGGATTTACAATTGATTATTCATATTTTGTTCATTTTTCTTCCTCTATTCTTTTTTAAAATCAATTTCAGAATCAGTCTGTGTGATTTACGCGATGTATTTCAAGTGCCTGAATCATCATGTGTTGCAAAATGCACGAGGAAATGCTTTATTCTCAAGTTTGTGAACATCAATTGATACTTTTGACATTTAAGGGAAGTAGATGGAGTTTCAGTCGAATCCATATATACCAGTTGATTCTATTCAGAATTTAATTTTTTAAACCGTCTTTTGATACCTCACCAGTTTTGAAGCATACAGATTTAGATGGCACCCTATGAAACCATCATTTGCAACGCTAGATAAAGAAAGTACCTTAAATTTGTGGCAATTGGAACACGAAGAATCTTGTACAATGGACGATTAAGTTCCAAAACCGATACAGCAGGAGACATCAATGCCGATATTTGAAGGCAACAGATAAGGAATTCGTGTTTTGGAGAATCAAATCTCGTTCATTATTATGTTTTGTACTATGATTTAGTTGATTTGATTGTTTTATATCTACAGTTGTAAAATGAAATATATTGTAGATGACTTTGTTCATCTTAAACTTGTAAAGATGTCGGTAAAGTGGCGATCATATCAGAGTAGTATTCGCATTTTTTTTTCTATCACTGAAAAGATACGCAGTAGTAAGCTCTGGAAGTAGCAGTATTATGGTGATAGGAGAAAAACCAAAAGTTTTATACTGTTTAAGTAAACTGGAAAAAGTGAGCAATTTCCTTATATATGTCTTTCATCCAAATTAATGAACGGTTGTGTATCGAGTTATATTTAATCAGGGACTTTATTAAAAATTCCAGAATTTTGTGCAACATTTGTTTGAAAATTATTTCTATAATTTGAAAAGAAAAAATGTAAAGATGCACTCCGGAATGAATAGAGAAGTCTAAATCAATGAATAAGTTGTGATACATGCAAAAAGTAGAAAAGCAAGAGTTATTTATAATTAAAATATAGCAGACAACTCATCAATAATGTTGTGTACATATGATGTACTCATGAGGAAGGATAAATATGTCTTGGGATTCTCAAGAGAAGTGGGGAATTCGTTACAGGCATGCGGCGTCTTTTAACGACGAAATTTTTTTTATTATGGCAACTAGTCGTTCTGTTTAAATAACGAATTGAATTATCTAGACAAATTGCCGGGGGGAGCATTTCACATTTTCCTTCATTCATTTTTGTCATGACTTATTTATCAATTTAAGTTTCTTCTTTATTCACAAGTTCATCCTTGACATGGTATTTTCTAGTTATAAGCGCAAATCTTAAAGATATATATATGGTCATCTGAATGATCACTGGTCATAATTTAAAACCAAAATTATAATTTAATCATGTAGTATACAAGGAACTTCTGACTTTTCTTTTACCTGCTAGTTTTTTTTCTACATTATCCGTGAAGCTATTTCTGTTAAAGTTTACATTTGGAATTCTTTTATTAAAATCAATCGCAGAAGATGATAACTAGTGAACGTAGCTTTTTTTACTGATAGAGCTAGAAGAGACTATTTTTCTGATCGTAATTGAATGAAGCATACAGCGAATTCTTGAACAACTGATCTCTTTATGTGGTTAAAATTTGGCGAAAAAAAGCTCCAACTGTTCATAAATTTCCTTTATCGAAAATTTCAAATATTTTAATGATGATGACCAATTTTGAGAAATTTAATGGGATAAAATAAGACTTTTATAAAGGATCGGTACCTTTAAGTCAACAAACAATGTTTTTCAAAAGCTTTCTTTTAGAGAAAATTGCTGGGACTTGAAAGTTTGGGAGAATTGCTTCCGGTTCATGCAATGAATTTTTTTGTGGTTTGCAAATTGGAAAATAAATTTCTTCAATTTATATAAGTCGCAGTTAAGAATTGCCTTTTTTCCATTTGATTTCAGAACAATTTTCTCTTTTTCCTTAGCCTCTTAGGACAGAAGTGCTTGTTTGTAATGCATTTTATCGTCCATATCTCTCCAATGAATTATTGCTTGTTAGAACTGACTTTTTCCAACTTTTCGTTACAATTTCTCCTCATCTCATTGTTATTGAAATTTTGTTATTGTCAACTTTCGGATGCAAAAAAAAGGATTAGCTATTCTGCAGACTCGAATCCCACCTGTCTTTCTTCACTGTTTTTTATTTCATATCTTGAGTTGTTCATAAATCTTAATCAGTTGGTAATCTACAAACACCACAGTGATCGTTGTATCCTTCCTTCTCTTACCCTTTCCTTTCTCATTACTTCATTTGTTTTAATTTTTATGGTGAACAGAAGATGGAAAAAGCATTATGGTATTTAAAGAATACATTGTAAGATACTCTTTTATACTATGGAATTACTTAATAAATGCCATTCCTTCATTTTACATTCTTTTTTATTTGTTCTTTTTTCATTTAAATGAAAGATTTATAACATACAAAGATTTCTTTCTTAAGTACTTGTTAATAATGATCATTGAAAGAAGACGAATTACTAAATGAAACTAAGTTAAATTATACTATCAATAAGTCATTCTACAATCCACCTGTTTTGCTATTAGAATTATACTTGCTGTGAAAACATTCCTTATATTAATTACTCACTTTTCATCATTCCATAACTGTCCTGTTTACGAGATAGCAACTTTGAAAGATACAAAAGAGAATTTTTGTAAAAGGTGTTTACAAGATGATGATGATGGTAAGTGAATTTCCAAAGCAACATTGTGACTTTTTCATCTAACATTTTAATTCATTCTGATATGATTGAACTACTTGAGATATTTCATTTAATTGATTACAATAAAGATTCTGATAAGAACAGACAAAGAACAATAGACTGTAAACAAAGTACTGCCAGATTTGTCCACCACAATCGCTAAATTATCCATCTACTGTCAACTGATATTGATACTCCAACGCATTGTGTATTGATTGTCAAGAAGGGCTTACTCCGTCGTTAACTTATCTTCTTTTTCTAGAAGGAATACTGTGCATTGTAGAACCTTAACTCTCTCAGGCATCTCAGTCTCTTTGTCTGTCTTCTTTCGTTTCAGATTTTCATTCTCTCCTAAATTCAATTATTTTATTTTCAACCATTCTAATTAATTCTTTTTAGATTTTGCATTTCTCCCAAGCCTATCCCCTTTTTCCATCCTATTACTGCAGACTATTATGCTCGTATTATGTAGACATTTGAGGTCATAAGATGAACTACAAGAATACATTCCCAATTAATTGCAGTAATTTCGTAATTACCGCTTCAGTTAGGTAAATTTCGATGATTTAATGCAAAGTGTATGGCGGCATCAAAACTATAACTCAATAATAACTGAAATAATTTGATCTCTTATCATAGCGTCAAATTCACGATTTTGATTACTTGGTTGCAAGTGATAGTCAGTAAGAAAAGGATCGAATAATATAACTTTCGTAGTAATGAAATTCCGGAACACACAAATATGAGTAATTTTTAACTTAAATAATATTTTTATTTAAATAATAATTTTTAATAATATAAGACCACTGAGAAATTTATTGAAACAATGAAGTTCCAATAGTTTTAATTCCCAATTCGCATCCGATTGTAAGAAAAAATTTTTCATATCAGTTTTCAGTCATAGACAAGACTGAAAAAAACTATTGAAAGGGGGCCTAAAATTTGTCATCAAAGAAAGTGCGGCAGATTATCATTATTAGCACACAATAAGTTTTCTCACAACAGTTACTGAAATTTGTTCGTTTGTTTGTTATACAAATGAAATGAGGAAAACGGATTCCTACTAGAAGGTAAGAATTTCAAATCGAGGAATTCATGAATCCAGAAAGTTATTTCCATATTTTCTAAATCAGGACAGTGATATCATTTTATGGAAATCAATATAAAAATTCTAGTTAATGACATACGGCCAACTCCAAGCATACCTGTTTTAATATTTTTATTGTAATTCAAAAATTTTTTGTTATTATTTATACCAATTCACTATTTAATTCAAGTGCTGGTTTCAATGGAAAGATGTATACCTACTAAATTTTTGCTAATTTAGACACTTGATTAAACCTTTCACTTGTATTGTTGTCTTCATATACTTCTAACGTTAGATAGGTTTTCTAAGCTTCAAATGAAAATTTTGGAATGAAAAAAGTTTCATTATTTTGATTTCTTTTATAGTTACATCCAGCGAAGTTGAATAAATTTTGATTATATTGCAATGGTAAGGCAAGTTGTACATATACTTTGACAGATGAAAATGTTAACACAAATTACTTACTGCGTCTAATCAAGCAGTAAATTTGAGTGCTAAAGCAAAAATCAACTCCTATCCTCTATTTAAGACTTATGAAAGCAAAAATTTCTCGCAAAAATCCTTGTATAGCAGTTGCGATATTAATTCATTATCTGAGCTGGACATAACATGAAAATAGTTCGACAAAATTGATATGATAAAAACTCTAATAGTTAAATAGTGCTATGAAAATTTGTTAAACCTAAATTTCTAGGAATAATACTTTTCAATTTTATTAATTATAAAGAAATCCATTATTAATTTATTCTGTGGGAGCTAACAACTCACTTACAAAGAAATAATCTTCTGTATATAGAAAATAAGAATGCATTAATACCAATCTTTTAATTTTTGTATAATTCAAGACTTTTTAGCTGTGAATTTGAGTAAAACAAATTAAGGTATTTTACCATTTCACTTAGGAGTGTGCGTTTGACTTAAAATATTAAATTTAAGCGGATGAAATCCTTATTAGAAAGCCTTTACTTAAAAACTACGCTTTACTTTTTAGCTTAACATTCACTTAGAGTCGTTTTTATTCTGAGTATTTTAATAAATTTCAGCTTGAGATATTACATTTGGTACTTAATAAACATTACATTTGGAAGATTTTTTATCCATTCTCTTTTCTCAGTCTGAAAATCGTTTTGTTCAAACTTCGAATAACAATATTTGTCGACATTTTGCTAAAGAATAGTAGATCATTTAAATTTTTTGAAAGTAACATTTTTTTAACTTAAAAAAACAAGAGTCATTATGACAATATGAACATTATTTTGTTATTCTATTACTAATTCAAAAATATTAATGCTAAGAATGATAATTCAAAAAGTTGTTACATTACGCAGTGGTCTTCCTTCCTTAAATATTCATTCAATGATTTCGCTTTCCTTCAAAATATACGTAAATTTCGGTATCTTCGCATTAGCCGCCACTTCAGCAAGGTGCAAAGGACATCAAAATATCTGTCACAAACATATGAGACATGATCAAATAGACTCTAGGAGGATTTCTAATAACTTTCCACTGCATAAATCTCTTATCTTTCTGTCGCAGCAATGCAGAAACATTCAAAGAATCAGTCGCTTACTGCTTTTTCAACACAACATGTGTAAGTAGATCACTTTCTTCCCGCAACATAATTCCATGCTGCACATAAGTTATCTCTTTATTCCAGGAAAGGTCATCACTGTCCGAAAATTGACCACTTATCTTATTTATCCTCCAGCTAAACAGACTATTGCAATTTGAAACCAATTTAATATTAATTTTTCTCATTGCTGCATTTCCTGTTGCTATGTTGGTTACACATCAGTGTTATATTCAAAAGCAGTTTCTATTGAACTAATGAGGCATACCTATAACAATTTTCCTGATAGACTTCTCTATAGTTGTTTTATGCTAATTCATTCACCGTTAACATCTCTTGAAATTTGTGCCTTTAATTGAAATGATTTAAAAGCCACTTGATATTGCTGTCTAGAAAGAGTAAAAGAGTTGTAAAATTTCTAAAATGATATAAAACGAACTAAAAGTCTGCAAACAACTAGATAACGATTGCTTGTGGGTTTTAACTATTCGTTTTTCATGTTACAGCTCAATAAATAACAACAAAATAAATTTAAGACTTGCTGCATCCTCCTGCTTGTTCATCATTCCTTTTCAAAATTAACTTAATAACAAAGATTTGAGAGAAATACCTCAGTTGATAAAATTCTTTATGAGTACAAGGAAGAAATAAACGTTCATCATTAGTATTTAAATAAATAACAGGACTGGAAATTACATATTTTAACCTTTAGTTCTGGTGAATATAGTAAAAAATGATATATTAGGTAACGTCTACACAAAAGTGGAACGGGGAAGTATTTGTCAGCTAAAATGATGAGAATATGAGTGTCAGTTTCTCGATTTTAATATGGTTAAAAGCATCGATGACTCATGAACTTAGCTTCTATCAAGATTATATTCAAATTCCCTGCTTTGTTCTAATGTTTTAGAAAAGCTTGAATAATTGATTTTTATTTAATTATCTCCAAGAATTTGTTGCTGTTATTTTTAATTTTATTATAATTTTATAGAATCCTCAACAATATTTTCACCACTTCCCAATATGATATATTGTGCTAACAAAATGGAAATAGTGGGTTCAATCAAAGAAACTATGTTCAACCATAGGACAAATATTAGATCTTCTTAGGCGCAAAGGATGAAAGTACTCTGAAATAAAGGGTGTTTATAGTAATGAGCCACGCATGATCTACATTGTTAAAGTTCATAAATCAAAACTGCAATTTAAAAGATTTATGAAGAGACTTATATAATCAGTACATTGAGATTATCTGTCTATTAATTTGAGAAAGCTCTTACAAAGTGACCCGTCATGAAAGGAAAAGTTGTACATCTAAGCAATTTCAAAATATTATTGACATTTTGTTCCAAAAATTTCGTTTACTTCCTTTATTTCAAACTTCTAAACTACAGTCTTTTCTGATCACTTAATGAATGTCATAATCAGATAATCAATCCCTACAAGTGCATTCACAACAAGTAATGAAAAAAAATTGCATACAATTTTTCGGAAGTCATTAATTAGAAATTTATAGTTTAACGCAAAAGATGGACTAATTGTATGCTAACTTAAGATACTAAGTTTCTTAGGTGATCATGATAAGATGTTAAGCGGAGATAAAATTTAATGAAATGATCCTGAAAAACTGCATAAGTTCTTTAAATAAATGTCAGAAACTTATTATCCACTTTTTCATCATTATGATTAACTGGGAAAATTCTCTAACTGAGTGCAAAATTTTTGCCAAAAGTGTGCGTAATTATTGCCTAATTATTAGAAACATATGTATTTGAAATATGAGCCAAAAGGAAAAAATTATTCCATTTGCGAGCAGTCTTTGAAATTGGCCTGTCTGCATCAAATACAAATATTAAAAATTTCAATTCTATGTTATGCATGAAAATCTGTTAATAACTAAATCAGTAACTTTCCATCATTTTCATAATTTATCCTTATTAGTTAAAACACAATTAACACTTATTCTTAGAGAACCGTTCTTTAATGCTTTGTATTAGAGATTATGTTCGGTCTTTTTCAAAAGCACAGTATGACTTGTAATTTCTCGTAAACAAATCGATTTTTTCAGTAATGGTGAGAAAAACATAAAAGATTTGATGATAGCAGCGATTCGAAAGTTACCGTGGGAAGGAGGATTGATTTCTGGATATCGGTGAGACGAAAATTTCGGAGTCAACATTTCTTCCACTTGACATTTTATTTCTTTATCGAAGAAAAGAGATCGAATTAGAAATAAAGGTAGATTCAAATAGTGTCCAGACTATTTCAAACTTTATACTCTCACTTTGCTAAAACACTTTTTCTTCTTATTATTGTAAAAGGCACTTGATGATTTACTTGATGGCATACCAAGCACCTTCAAGAAAAGATTTGTTGATTCCAGAGTCTGCTTACAACTTTCAGTAAGTTTGTAAATCAACTGTTATAGCTTTAATTGTGTTGGCATAAAAATTGCATTAATTTTTATAGATATGGTTTACTCTTAAGGTGTATTTTATGCCATATTCCTCTGTGTAATGTATTTTCTTATCATCTTAGAAAAAAGTGGAAATAGGAATTAAGTGAAGATTATTTGTCAAATTCAAGGATAATAGCAGTGTTATCCTTTCCCTCCGATAAATTTTATTTCTATTCTCTCTGATGAATTTTACTTAACAAAAAAATATAAGTGAATAATATTCTTGAAAAAGTTCCTTAAAAGTGATATTAGTACTGTGGTAACTACTAGACACTCTTATCACGATGAGATAGAAAGTTCAAGAATAATGTATGTTTAGACAATCACTGCATCAACAGCAGTCATCTATCATTAGCACAATTAACGTTTTGCATGTTATGATTTGTTATCACTGCATATTATCCCAACAAATTTGTCAACACTGGCCATAACATATTTAGTTAATGTGTTGCAGAACATAATAAAATTTTGATAATTTTATAGATTTATTAGGGCTTGAACAGAAACGAATGAAACTGCCGATGAGATATGTTAAAGCTGCTATGAGTCATTAACCTGAAACAAATTCTTTTAGCGTACTCTTTCTTTTTCAGTTTGTTTTTCTCATTTTTATCAGTAATTTTTAATTCTCAATTTGTGGTTTTGGATTATCACTATAATCATATTTCTTATACACATGACCTAACAGCATATTTCGAAATGCAGTGACATTCAGTATGATGTCTATGAAATTATGTCATCATGCATGTTTTAGAAGTACCTGAAGATGTTGTATAATACTTTAGAAACCGTATTTCTTAAAATAAACTCGAAAGTTGTTAAATTATCAGGTTATTGCTTATTGATGATTTTTATTAAACACATTTAACCACAAAAAAATTAATTCATTTAATTTATTCCTTATTATAGTGCAATGTAACATAAACTATGGTTACATAAGTATGATAATACACCTTTCCATATCAGTTTTTCCTATACTATGTTCATATAAATCAAATGATAATAACTTGAAGTAAATTAACATGCCTTGCTTAATGAAAATTTTAAAGCCAATCATCACAGAAAAAAATATAATAAGAAATTCTGCAAACATTTAAATGAAAATTTCTAGTGAATCTTAAGTCATTATAAACTTTTCTAAGGGTCTTGTTTTGGGGTACATATTCGGTTTGTTTCCTCAAGAGTTCATCCCGACCGTAAGAAAATGTGTGACAAAGTGATTCTAAATATGAGATGAAAACGCAGTGAATTTAGTTTTTGTGATTTCTAAATAGATGAAAACGGTCTGTTGATTCAATGCGCGTCTTTGAAGCGAATTGTATAAATATCTTAAATTATGGCTTCTAATCTTAACGTTTAGGTGACATCTCGGTGTTCTCACAAGATGTACAATAACAATAATACCTGCCTGGATATGAACGCGGAATTATGGCGGAATAGGCGCGATTGGAGCACTCAGTCATTTACTATATTCATTTTCGTCTTTTTTTATGCAGCAATTATCCTCATCGGTATTGTAGGCAATCTATGTGTCATATTGGCCATATCTAGGACCAGGTATTTCTTCATTTTTCCATGTCTTTACCTAATAATTTTATCTAATAATAATCAGTCGATTTAAAAAATTTGGTGTCAAATGATGCTAAATAGAGACCTAATATCGGCCGAATTTCCGACATAATTACAAAATACTTGATCTTATAGAAAAAGTGATTGCTTATATGAACATAAAGCATCAACAATGAATTATAATCAGGTATAACATATATGGACTCGTTTGACAGCTAGAAACCTCAGATCTTAGTAGACACGTAGATATTTTGTTTTCCTGAAAAGTGATCAAAATGCAGTAATTATTTTCATTTTGCTACTATAATTGTAATTTATTTCTATAAATATATAAAGCATCAACGATTACTTATAATTATAATAACAAACTAATACCTGCTTTTTGGGTACTGACTGATTCAAAAGTGATAGAAACACATTTTAGAAGTAACAAATAATCACCTCACCTATGTAGTGTTTCAGGACACTGCAAACAGTACCCAATATGTTCATTTTCTCATTGAGTTGCTCCGACCTTGTTGTATGCTTCACCTCAGCAACAATAACACCAATCGCAGCATTCAAGAAGGAATGGATTTTTGGTGCTGTGTTATGTTCCGTAGCACCCTTTATTGCTGTTAGTTCCTTTTCTTTACTTAGAAAGTTGTGATTTTGATGATATTACTGTTTCTTCAGTCTTTGGCTGAGCTCCGAGTTCTTATAAATTATAATCATAAAAGGTCAGATAAAGGCAAATATTACTGAATGTAAATGGAAGCTTCCTGGTATTGCAACACATGGTATCATAAGAACTCAGATAAAATTAGCATCAAGAAACAGACTGAATTGGAGAAAAAACAAATTAGATTCAACAGATTTTTGCAAGTTTCTTTGAGAACTTCTCCATGACTTTTTCAGCACAGCCATTTACGATACGAGCTTTTGGATATCCCTTAAGAAATAAAGTGGGAAGTAATTTTAAACTGTCGATGTTTGAATATGCAATATAGTTTGAATATCATCGAAAGCTTAGTACTTTTTTAATCGTTTGAGAACTATTCCATAAATTTTGATAAAGTATAAATATGGATATGCAATATACTTCTCTTGAAATTCCGAAAAGCTATTTTGAAATAGAAAAAAATGAATTTTTAGGGCGCTTCATTGTGCTTCTCTACATTTACTCTCTCAGCAATCTCAGTGGATCGTTTTTTGCTTATCTATTTTCCAACTAGAAAAGCTTTATCCAGGCTTCAAGCATTAATCGTAATTATGGTGAGTGGGACGCTACAAATTTTTTCTTCAATTTTAAGCAAATTGAATTGCTAGCTTACAGCTTGTTAGCAAATGTTTTGAAAGAAGTCATTAGAGATATAGAAAAAGAGAAATCTTAGGAAATTATTTGCTCCATTGAAGTTAATCAATAAATACTACATCAACAACCAATAAATTATCAAATTACTCCAATAACTTATCAAGTTGCTAAGTGATAAATGCTTTATTAGCATATTTCGGGTGAAACACTACTCAATAAACGTCTTTACTATACTGTTTGTACTGTGTTATAATAATAAGTATCATTTCCATATACTCTGCAATTTTCATGTTCACGTTGAGATTCTCAATCATTTTTGATCACATATCAATTTGTAATGAAGACCTTTTTCTTTCTTTAAAAATTCTTTCTAAATTTTAAACTTCTCAAAGGTTTCGGTGTTATAAAATAAAAATGAATATGTAAGAAATGTGCTGTATTCAGATATTTCACTCAGAATAATATTTAAGTATGTAATAGAATTTGCAGGTAATATGCATGTTATCTACTTCATTATCAGCGCCGGTAATATTCAAGCAAAGGCTTAAAAGATTCGGCAATTACTGTGGCCATTTCTGTACTGAAGAATGGGGTATCGACCAAAGCGGTAGACGAGTTTATGGGTCAATAATGCTGAGCGTACAATTCATCGTACCTCTGGTGATCATCACTTTTTGCTACACTGCTATCTCTTTCAAATTAGGCAAGGTAAACTTATTCGACACTTTACTATCAAGTGATGCTTGTCGCGTTCCTTTTTATGCATTTTAGATCCATTTATGTCCGTATATTTCACATAAAAAGATAACACCATACCATAGCGTTCATTTTTCATTTTACTCTTACCAAATAATAGTTCCATGTCTGTAGCACCACTTTCAGCAAATATGAATAAATATTTGATGGTGATTTAATAAGAATATTTCTAAGAACAAATTACCATTAAAAATGGCACAAAACCTCTAAACCTCTATTGATTGGTGATATTTGAAGATAAGATGAAAGATATAAAATGAAAAGGATATAAAACATATAACGAACGAAGTGATCTGCTAATTGCAGGGTATACTGCAAAGGAATCGAAGGCAGCGTAATGAATATCAACTAGGAATGACCGATCAGGCTTGTTTTTTCTTTTTCAAACAGTGCATTTCAAACTTTATTACAGAGATGAAATTTTAAGTAAATCTCCTGATTTAATCAGGGCACTTATGAACAAATTAATTGACTCTAGAGCACATATCATCCTTGAATATGTTTTTAATAAAGGAACAATTTACTGCGACACTCAGATGTGTTAAAATATAAAGTTAGTAAGAATAAGCTAATGCAATGTCAATTATTCATTACGGTCGTTTTGCAAACGGAAAGAAAGAAGGAGTAGCCTCATTATTACTTGTGAGAAATAAAAAAGAAAGGAAAAGATGACAACAAGGCTTTGCCATCTTACTTCCTGTTCCTTGTTAAGGATTTCAAAGAAATACAATAAAAAATTTAGTCAAGGATAATAAAACCGACATTAAATATCAACTCATATTTTTAGCAGCGTGCAGCCATAAAACGCAGACAACGAACAAATCGTATGCTAATTGGAATGGTGGTTGCGTTTTCTGCAAGCTGGTTTTTCAGCGTATTATTTAACGTTCTCAGGGATTACGACTGTCTGCCGAAGTGGTGCCAAAATCAGGAATACTTTTTCGGGATTGCAACACATTGCATTGCTATGTCCTCAACTGTCAGTTTGTTTCTGTTGGTATTACTGATAAAATAATTTTTAATTGACGAAATGCTGGATAAAATTTTACTAATTAATTAGGAACCAAATTACAGAATTTTAGAGATACTCTAGATGTTTTATATTCTCCATAAATTTTCAATCTTAAAATTGCTAAAGCCTTGAATTGCTTATTTTTGTAATTCTTAAAAATATTTGAAAAGTTCCAGGTATGGAATCCATTGCTTTATGCAGCTCTAAATTTGCAATTACGTGCTGCTTTTTTTCGATTACTACCTGAATGTGTAAGGCAACCAGAAATGCAGAAAAGTGCTACTTATAACTGTAAGCCTCTCCTTCAATCCGGAAGTGCTTTGCGGAATGATTTAACAAAAAATAAGATACTGAATTGTGATCACAGAAAAAGGTAACTAATTCCTTCTATACAGTAATGCTGATGATAGCATAATAATGCAGCACAAGTAAATAATGATTTCTTATCATTATTTTATCATTGCATCATTGCAGTTGCGATCTATTAGCAGTCTATAAAGCAGTGAATCGATATGAAAGTTTTGAAGTAGATGACATTTAAGCACCGAGGACAATGCTAGATATAACCAGTTGAGAGATAAATCGTTGGCTTGTTGAATGGTCCCAATAAAATGAATCTTTATAGGCGTAAAGTGCCTCATCAAATTCTAAGCTATTTGGGTTATTCCAGAAGTTTCTGGAAGCATCGCGGCAAATCAAAATATGTGATATAAGTTCTGTTCCATTAATGATGCAAATGAAATGATATAGAACAGTAAGCAAATGTGAATCGTTAGTGTCAAACTGCAAATATGAATAAATGTCCAGGGGAGGACGAACGATTTACCTTGCCGAATCATGATTTTCAGTATGATTTGTATTGCAAGGAGATATGGAAATATCTGAGTTTAACTAATATAAATTATTTGCTTATTCAACTTACAAAAGGTATGCAAGTTTTTATAGCTAATCAAGGTATCAAATTATCTCTCGGTTCATCTAATATACACTGAAGCTGAACTTTCTGTTTAACTATGAAATAAATTCTTGAAGCTTTCAAGTTAGCATATGCTACCATTGACAGTGAAACTTGCAAAAGTCGCAAGAGTTGCCGTAAAATTTCAGTATTACATTGGAAGATTTCGATTAATTTACAGAAACATCAGAGAAACAGTTAGAAAGGTTGTTAGCAGAAAACAATTAATTCCAATATTTTTAAAATGATTGATACAAATAATTCCTTTCCATAACAAAACATATAATATTTTATTTTAATTTATAGTTTGATAATAAACTATAAAACTTTCGTGACGCTGATTTTAGGTCAAACTAGGTTGCAAGTTATTTATTAGATCTAGCTGATTCAGCAAAGACTGGATCGAAGTGTGAAATCAATCAAACCTCAAATTAATAGCAAAAGAGTGACTCTGTGATTTGCCTGCCACACCCCATTTTTCCTCCCCACAAACTTAATATTCTATTCAAATTAGCGTGAAGTTTTTTTTTTTTTTTTTTTTTTTTTTTTTTTTTTTTTACAAAATTTAAATTTAAAAGAATTCAAATTCGCATGAAGTGTGACAACTGGAAACTTCATCCTTCAGCACCGCTACAGACTGGAAGATTCTGCCATAATAACTGTTAACTTCAAATTTACAACTCTTAAGCATTTAGAAAGATATTTTGTAAGGAATCACTGTTTCATATATGTATATATATATATATGAACACATTTCAAAAATTCAAAAAGTAATAGAACAAATGAACAACCAAAGGTAAAATAAAATGAATGATAGAATTCAGTTAAGAAAGGACTAGACTGCGTGTTCTACTCTGAGTACTGTAAATAACGTTTTGAAAAAGACCTCAATAACATCGTTCTTGGAGTGAAGGTACTCTACATTGAGCAAAGTTTGTTCTATCAAGCCAGAGCTATTATTAAAATATGTCTGCTTAAAATCCAAATGGGTACTTGAGTATACAATAAACAGAATTTCAGGATTCTGCAATATGTTATCCCATCCTCTTCTCTCCTATTTCCTTCATATTTGCAAATTTAAAAAAAAAAAGCCTTGTTTCGTATACGTTCGGTTTCATAATAAGAATACCGGTTTGTTAGTCACATGTATTTTCATCACTAAATCATAGGTTACAAGAGTTTCGAAATATTTTCATGTGCCTATCATTTCAACTAAGTTTTTCAAACTAATTAATTTACCCTTATTGAACCACTTCTTCGAATGCACCTATTGTAAATTAGAAAAAATTTAATGACACAATTTTTTAAAAAAGGACAATATTGATAAATAAGGAACTCTCTTGGAAAAATATGCATTATATCCAATTTATAGTAACTTTGCAAATTAATTGTTCTTTCAAAAATTTTCAACTTTCTCAAAAAAGCTTAACTGATTACTTGTTGACTGGTTGACTATAATTACTTTGCCAACTGATCTATCCATTATAAATTAAACTCAAATATTAAACAAATTAAAATAGCATTTGATAAAGAAATAGTGATAACACGTGTCCAGTTTAAGGGTGTTAAAAATTAAATTCCGGATGATATTCCATGTTAAAAGTCTATAAATCGAACGATAAGTTTGATGACCATTCCATTTTCATACCTATTACGACAACGTTGATGTTGAGTTGACATTGTCATAATAATCGAAATCATTGCTTTCTGCAATCGAATTTTTAGAACAATTCTGATCGAAACAAAAATCAACTGCGATTCTCATCCGATCCTTTTCAAATATAACATTCGCTGATTTTTGAACAAAATCGAACAAAATCGGTAATTTTATGCCTGAAAATGAATGAAAGTGTTGAAAGTATGTTCAAATATTTCTCGGAAATATACATTGATGTTTTATCAACAAAATATCTATTTTGTAAGATATCGCATTATCATCATCATCAATTCACTCGAATTCACTTGAAAATGTATGCATTTTGATACTGATATGCTTCGGGATGTATATTAAAAAAAAGAAAAATCGTTGTCAATTTTACCGTCACTAAGTTTCTTTGCTACATCATCGCCAATCAGCAATTCATTGAGAGCGCTGACAAGGAATTCCAGGCTAGTTTTGTCAATGCCATCGATCAGACTTGTTACATCGGAGATTTTGAATTTATCGATACGCATCTGCGATGTGAAAGAATAGTTTTGGAAGATGCTTTTTTCGAGTTTTAATTCGGCCATCATATTGGATGTTAGGAATGGACTCGTGTGTTCACCTTGCTATAATTTTCGAAAATTTATTATTACAATAGATAAACCCATACATATATAACAGATTTAATTATTGAATTTTAAATCGCATCTGTTGTGCTTTTCTTTTTTTATAAAAATAATTCTTCTCTCTCTCTCTCTCTCAAAATGCAGCTATGATTAAAAAGTTACTAAAATTTCCAAGAGAACATACTAAAAAGGAATTTCTCAAAAGTTATAACAATTTAGTAAATTAATAAGTAGCAGTTCTACAAACTTACTTGCACGAATGCATCCACTTGACTCCAAATCACAATTATGCCTTTATCCTGTTCAAAACGAACTGTCGGAGGAGTGGTTGTATGCGATTTAATTTGCACCATACCATTTGGATATTGAACACTTAAAGCTGAAACACAAATGTACACCTGTCAGGAAAATATGATTTCAAATTGAACTTGAAGAATGAAAATAAAGAAAACAAAGAACTTTAAAGTTAAGTATTTTGGAACACAGCTCTTTATACTTTGCAGTATAAAAGAAACAGAAAAATACTTTTTTAAAAAAAAAAACATTATTTTAGTCGATTGTCATCCGTAAAGTTAGTTAGAAATGTTAATTTAGGTAGAATTGACAGTATGTTATAAGAGAACGAACTAATACTACCAATTCTAATCTAAAAATATTCCAAATCAGACTAGGACTGGTAAATTCTTTACAAACATACCGGGAAATAGAGTGCCAGCACAAATATCATTCGAGCTACATTCGCTTCTTAAATATCCGACCATAAGTGTATTGTTGATGCTTTCTTTGCTTATTTCATAATCAAAATTCCTATACTGATCCATCCAGTAGAGCAAGCTAGCTAGCGTATAGTTAGACATTGTGAATTCAACCATTGCCTGGTTTTCCGGACTATCCAATGTTATCGGTGTTGATGGAAAAGGTAATCGAAAATCGTTGAGCCTATTAAGACCTGAATGGAATTACTGAAACGTGAAGATGCAAATATAAAAAAGCTTGTATATTCCATCTCGTCTCTAACAGTTATAGTAAATTCCAGCTTAAATTCAAGCCAAAAATGATTCTAATCGTCACTAATTATTTTGATTTACCTTGTTTTACAATACTGAATGTGTTTCCTCGATGCTTCAGCTCAATTGCATTAGGCAAATATTGTATTTGCTCAATAAAGCCGTAATTCACAAAATACTGATCAAATAGAGCTGCGCTCATCGGAGTGTTCATCAAACGATTCGAAATGACGGGTACAAGCTCAGCATTGAAACTTGAACATATTATCTGAAATTCGCTATATTTTAGTGTAAAACATACTAATTTCAGCTTCATTTAGTACATTCTATCAATTTCCTTTCGTTTTAAACATTATTTGAAATAAGAATTTGACACCTAATATTCAAAGATACATAAAGATCGCACAGTTTTATGCCAAAAAATTTTTTTTGAATAATTTTAAAGATCTCTGTAAAGCTAACCAGTTCGATTCTTTCACTGATGAAACGATTAATTTGTGGATAATAATTGACTAGAAGTGAAGGATCAGTTTCACTAAAGTTCATTACAACATTGCCTGGTGATAGTGTACATTTTTGTAGGTCGGTTCGAAGATGGCCATCAACATTAACAGCGGCCACAAAAAAAGATTTCACTTTTGCACTGCAATTAGTTAATTTTCATTTTTAAAACTACAGTAGCATTTATGAAATTTAATTCATTCCTTATGATAATGGTAACTAAGCGTCCTTTTTTACCTGAATTACTTTCTTAAATTCAGCTAACTTTTAAACTCAGTCCATCTAAGTCTGTCCTTACATGAAAGCAAAAAAAATTTATTTCATGTCAAAAAAGTAAACGGCAGAAAGATGGTCAAATTCGAAATCAAGATCGAAAATTTTGACAGTTACCTAACTGATTGTTTTTTTTACAGCTCCCAAATCTCTTTAGTTCTTTCTTATTCTTACTTCTTATTCGAAATTGTGGTTGAAAATAAAAAATAAGTTTTAATATCTCGTTTAAGCATTAATGATTATTGTTTTATAAAGAATGACGCTTGTCATGAAATTATATTATAAAGTTATAACATAGAAAACTGGTATCTTATCGAACCGTTTTTGCTCCATTTTTGCTTGAAAAAGCATGAAATTGGAGAATAAATATTAAGAAAAATTCGTAGCACTTTGTGGAATCAAAAAAGCTTTGAATTTCTAAGTTTTCTGAATGGATCTCTATTTTTTGCACCTGTTAATTTGAAGTACAGCAGATCCATAAAAGTCGCCAGCAGGACTGGAAATTTTGAAAAATGTACCAATTGAGAGATTTAGATGAGAACCCTGAAGAATTTTTCGTTCTGATTTCAAAAATGCATTTAAAATTAATTTTTTAAAACTTTACTATCTGAGATAGGCCAACTTTTAAGGCATGTAGAGAGTTAATAAAAATTCAAATTAGAGTGAATATTTGATTGCATAAACTGCAAAAGAAATTTCCAAAAAAGAAGCATTTCGAATAATTTATCAAGTGATGCATAAAAGTATTCCGAGAAAAAGTTTACCATCCAAATGATGCCTTGTCCAGGGACAATAAACAACCTTGATTTGAATATTTTAGAATCATAACCAATAGCTTTTGTTGAGATGAGACCAAATGTTACCTAAATTTTTTTCGTAAATCTTTAAATTAAGAAAAACAAAATCATACAACTGGATTCTATAGAGGATACAAATAGCATTTACTCCATCTATATAAAATACAGAAAAGGAAGACTGAAATTTCATCACTCAGTTCATAAATATAATGATAAGCACTTGAATTTTCGATAAAATAATTAGCATATTGCAATTTTTAAGTTCATTTAACTTTTGTAAGAAATCCAGAAAATAAATCAGAGATGGAGACTGATAATTTTCCTGAAAACCTCGTTTGTAAGTGGTGCAGAAAAATTGAAGATAATTTCGCCATGATACATAAACCTATTGACGCGTTCTTTCAGATAATCAGCTAACAAGTCCAAAGCTTTCTGATTGATTCGTGTTACAAAACCCGCATGCGTATTTGGATTTGTGAAGAAGCTATCTGAAAGTTCATTTATATCAGTTCATTTCATCTCACTCCTTCACTTCATTTCCCTACTCTATTTGGATCAAAGGTCACTGTCTCACTTCCGCATATGATAAATTGTTCATAATCAATTTCAAACAGACATCCAATAATACTGTTGTTAAGTCATCGCTGCCACTAGAACGCCATAAGAAAAACAAGAATTTGGATTCACTTGAAACTGTTTTATCACCTGTCTTCTTTATCAGTTATCCAGTGTGGGCTGAATTCATTTGGAATTGATGAGAGTAAGGAAAAATCTCTGTAAGTATGATATTTCTCATTTCAGCCATTATCTCTTCTCACAGTTTACTTTTAACAGCTCGTGACAGAAGAGTTAAGTGCTTTTGGTCAGTGCCATAGCTATTATCAAAAGGGAAACTGAAAAAAGTCTCACTTGCTAAAGAGTGTGAATTTGTGAGGCCATACAGTTGCAATGTAACAAATATTAGCTGTAAAATCATATTGCTTTTTCAGTCGCTGTAAGCAAAAAATGCCGAAAGCGTCACTGTGCGTTACTCCTTTTTATAGAAAAGACGAAATGGTAGCGTTTACGGTGGTACTAGCGATGATAATAATGAAGAACGCTGCAAAGATTGAATTCTTGATAAGTTGGCAATAGCGATGAGAAGATTACAATGATTAAAGTGGATAATATGATCAGTTATGAGTCTGTTGATTGAGAACTGGACTGTTATGGATCATATTTCTTTTTCAGTCGCTGTAAGCAAAAAATGTCGAAAGCGTCACTGTGCGTTACTTCTTTTTATAGAAAAAACGAAATGGTGGCGTTCGCGATTAATGTTAAATGGATGCAATCTATTCCATTTCAAACAATCAGTTCAACAGAAAATTTACTCAGCCAAGAAATGCCAACAATCAACAAGCTCATAACAAATATTAAATGAACCGCATCGTTCAGCAATATTACCCAATAACAAACGGGAAAGGATAAGCACTTACCTCCTATTAGACAGATAAGTCTTGGAAACTCGTCTGATTTAAAGAATACTGCTCAAACGAAAGTTTAGCAAAACACATCGGTAAAAGAAAAGTGAAGGAAATAAATGTAATCATTAACAAATTAACAAATTATGGTAAGGAATGATATCCGAAAGAAGCAATTGGCCAAACAATTTCTTGCTTTTACTTTCCCTTTTTCTTTGCTGAAAGAAACTGGGAGAAAATGGAATTGGAAATTCAGATACCCAGACGATTTAACTCAGAATAAGTATATGTTAATATTAAGTACATTAATAACTGGTAAAAAAAATACCTCAGTTATCCTGATGCTGTTAACGTTTCTTACGACCCCTGTTCAGATATTAACTTTTGGAAACCTGGACAAATTATTTGTTGTCTTATTTGTTCAGAAAATAAGGCCTGTTTGTTAGGCTAAACAAATTTCGTGAAACCATAGCCTAAAACAGATTTTATAGACAATATTTTGTTTCATTAATAAGATAAGTGATGTTTGATTTAAGTTTGTATATATTCAGAAAAAAAGTTCATTGGATTTTCTAGCAAAATCTCGTCACTTCATGCTAATTTCAATAGAAATATAATTTTCTACATAACTTCAATAGAATGGAGGATAGAGAGAAATTTAAAAATTATAAAAACAACTCACTTCATGACTTCTATTATATTATCATGGAATGCTGAATCATTTGCAAAAAAAAAAAAAAGAATTTAATTTTAGCATCCCTATAATGAAATGAAGCATTTCTATGTATTTTTAATATTTTGTGGAAGAGTGAATTAAAATAAAAAAAAATTATATATATTCTAAAGATCATTAGACCTTATGGCCCATTCAAACTTAACGCTCATATTTCTGCTTTCTCCAATAAAACCTTAGTTTCATACTTTTTATTATTTGCGAAATACTTCTTATATTATTCAAATCATTCAATTCCTCATCCACTCAGCACATTCCAAATTTTAGTAATGGTCAAGATTGGCAGAAGGTACAAAACGGTCTTGTAAACAAATTAAAATAACCACTGAGTCATGACTTTTCTTAGTGCTTCGCTCTTTTAAACGTATCTGATGATTACGAAATATCATTACTTGATTCCTAAATTACTCGAACTTTTCTTTTCCATTGTGAAACTATAGTTACAGATCTAAAATCCTTCTAATCTTCCTATCACAAATAAACTGTTTGACGATAATAAGAAGGGAAATAGATTCCTTCTCATTGTAGAAGTTTAAGCATTAATAAAAAGGTTTTATGTTTTGGTACTAAATGGCAAGAAATAAATGACTCTATTATTCATTTTTAAGCTCATTAACCAGGAAGTGGCCAAATATATTTAAGAATTTTCAAAAGGTATCCTCTCTTTTAAGTCATAAGAACAAAATAAGCGATAATAAGTAGTTAGAATTAGACGAACCAAATAATTATGAAGATTTTATGAAAATTCAATAACACTTGATAAAGCATAAAGAAATTTCAACTTCTCTCTATTGCTTTTTGGGAGAATTCCATAAACATCTTAACGTTTTAAAATCGTACTATTTAAGTGAAAATTTTAAATCCATGAAATAGCGATATGCAAAATTATGAATTGAAAAAAAGCATGAGGGCATTTACAGGTCTACAAACCTTCATGTTTCAGAAAGGTTAAGCATTGGGTCATATAACCTGCGTCAAGCTTATGTAATGACAATCGAGAACTTTTGTTAAACCAAACAAAGTGATTTCTCACCCAAAAGGTAAGTCGGAAGTAATCAGTGACTTTAAAAATTGAAAAAAAAATTTTTGATTTTTGTCATCTTCGAAAAAACGGGTTTAAATGCCTTTATGGTAAATAATCAGCAAACAAGATTTGGAGCTCTTATTGTTGATTATAGTGCTATTTATTAATGCCATCTTCTTCTCACTAAAATTCTATCCCTTCTTTTTCTTCCTTTTTCCCAAAAAGGAAGAATATAAATCGTTTTTGTTTTACAGTTCTTCCTTCCCTCATAGAAATAAAGGACAATTGTTGAAACAAAGCACAAAGTTACCTTCGAAAACTTTTTTATTAATAAAAAGCTGCCGAAATACAATTCTTGCAGAAATTTATAGATGGCAAAATATGATAGTTCTGGAGGATGGGATCCATTGATGCAACATTCGTTTACCTATACCAATATTACTTTTGTCACCGTTAATAAAGTATGTGTTCAGCACTTGGCTTCTATTAATATTCATGTTTCAAATTGGCAATGATCTGTTCTTTTGTCACATTAAAAGAGTGAAATTTTGTCCTTGAATTAATATTAAACATAAGGATATTGAAGGGAAAATAGGAAAGAGAGGATGAGAGACAATAAAAACTGATAGGACATTTAAATAGCTGGGGTTGTCGTCTATCATTACAGAACAAGTGGAAAGAGTAATTTATTATTTTCGTTGATGCATAAGTGTTGAGCTCTTAAGAACAACTAGAGCTATGAAAGAGAAATAGAGTTTGGCACTGGGTATCACGTAAGTAAAAGTGTTCGATGTTACACTTCAATGTAGAAAGTATCATGAAGAAAAACAGACGGAATGGTACTGTTGGAAAGTAATGAAAGAATGAAAATAATAATGAAGAGAAAATGACTGATTGTAGCTGTAAGATCAGTACAGCGTAACGTTTGTCATCCAATCAAGCAGTGAATTGTCGGAAATCTACTGCAATCGCACTAAGATGGCCGATAACGACGGATGGCGATAACGATAACGCAGGTGGAGATTGAGATAAGTGAGTAGACAAATACCACTCCGCTCGGTACGAGGAGAAAGGGATAGTGCATTGGATTGGTAGTAGCTGCGGTGCGGTTGCTATCGCGATTTATAAAACCGGATGCCCTGCGGCCGGCGGCTCAAAACGGGCAAACGATAGTAGTATGGGAGAGCTGTTAGTTGCAGTGCAGTAGTGGTAATGGTTGTGGTAGTGCTCTTGTATCGATACCACTCAATGAACACTTTTCTGAAGGAAAAAAGGACGGAACAAAAATACGAAGTTCGCAAAACTTTCTAAGAAAAGTATTCTAGAATGATTTATTCGTTTATCTCTCCGTGAAAGCTTTCTTTCATCATCAAAAAGCAGTATAAACGGTTAAGTAAATTGGATCGGTTTGAAGAAGACAGTAAAGGTTATTAGCTAATAAAGTAGTATTTCTAACTAATTTAACTCTCTATCTTTGATCTTAAATTACCTTATTAGAAGCAAATCCCATTGTTATTGTCAATGAGTTTCCCGATTGATCACACAACAGAAATGTTATGGATTATTGTTAAAAGTATAACTGTACTAATTCAAAACGCTATTCGATTTTTGATTTGTAAAATTTTTCTTTTTTTATCTTTTGGATTTTCTTCATGCATGAACAGTGGATTCTCTATCTAAACTTTATTTTTTTAAAGATGCTGAAGTACTCCTAACAATGTAAATTTGAAATGTATCCGGCAGATATGACTAGCTTTTGAATATCGCAATGCCGTTTCTCAAATTTTCCAAAATATAATTCTTTTTTTATAAAGTTAAATCACTTCAATGAAGACTCACTAGTATTGAAAGTTCTTGTTACTGGAAGCTTTACTAATTACTACTGATAATTCAACTTTATAAAAATTTAATTATTACTAGTATAGTTAATTACTAATTTTTACTGTGCGTTAGTAATTTAAAAAACTTTTCTCTTTCCTTCTCTATTAGCATTATTTTTTAGCAAAGAGATAGATACTTCGAATATGAGGGGACGTCTATCATCAAACTGATCACTGTGATGCAGAAGAAGCTATAACATAGTTGCTTCGATCAGCGAAGTAATGCTAGTAAGGTAACAAAAGCGATCGCTTGCTGAAGCATTACTGTTCATATCTAACAAGTTGGATTGTGCATGCATTGTACACTTTTCTAAACATTAGAATCAGTTGTTGAAGGTTTATATATATATATATATATATATATCCTAGCTTCATGCCGTCAGCGTTCTATCAGTTAATAGCTTTAATTACCACTTCAATTACAGTTTACGTTGAAATCATTATCAGGCTTGATTACTAGTTATAATTTAAATGCAAAGAAGAAACAAATATGAATTAACTCGTTCGACTCAATACAATATGCTATATATATATATAGCATATATATACTTATATATGTATATAATATATAATGGGGCATAACAACAATAAATGTAACATCCAATAAACTTGGATTATTCAGTAAAAGAATGACTTACAGTGTGTTACATGTATAAATCATTTAGATGTGAAGTATTCAGTGAAAAAACGTAGCACATTTATGATTTCAATCGTGTCACCTAACTTTCATCTATTTAATTACTTTTCATGAGCACGATGTACTCAATGTGGTACGGGTGATAACAATTAGGGTAATATCCGATTGCAAATGAATATTCGCTCCTAAGCAACCGGAATATAATTCAGCATTCTATTGATAGTTGATAGTGATTGACCACACAGTTTCAATCGACAACACAATCAGCGAAATGATTAGAGAAAACTGTTTAACAACCAATATAATGAACTTGTTTTAGCGTGAGGTACTGGTACGTCAAGATATCTCATTGTCAATTTATTTATTCTGTGATTTATTTCTTGTATAAAAAATGATCATATTCCATTTTATATTTTGCATATGCAAACAAATATTTATATTTTGTTTTTGTACTGCAGTTTAATCTTCCTTCTCTTCTTAGAAATACCATTGTTCCTGATTGATTTTTACCTTCTTTTTCACTTAAATATTTTGAAGAGTGTATGATAATAGTGAAAGTAATGAATGAAAGTGACAAAAGACCCACGGCTGGTAAATGATCCGGCATATACGAGAACTTTGAAATCTTTAAATTACGCATCACATTGTATATTGCAGTGTTTATTTATAAGTAAAAACGAACCGGATTTTTTATAGCTTATAAGGTGTTGCAATTAGTATAGATCTGGTTTCCTCAATTGATCCTTGTTCCTGTCTTATTGCGTCGAATTTTTTCCTCTGTCTATTTAGTTTCACTTGCTACGCTCTTAATCTATGCAAAAGAACTACTTGTTCTCGCTTCCCATTCCTATTCACTGATCATATTTTTCTTGCATATAAACACAAAAACTCTAAGTTTACAAAATATCTAAGAGTTTAGAAGTTCGGAAGTTACCATGCATAAATCTGAACAAGCCTGCAAGCTTCTTTATCGGTTATAAATGATCTTTTCCATAAAAATACAAACTAAAAGTTATTGCATCAATCAATAAACATATGGAATTATTAATATAATCAAAACAGAATGTCATAGGGGTAATAAGCTTCTTGAAATCATCACACTATTCCGTTTAATTTACCTACTCAGAAGATTGCAAGTATTTAAGTTCGCTTGTAGCAACTTCATAAATTTTAAAAACTTTAGCACAGTTCAAACGGAAATTAACACTTCATCAACTCACAGAATTGCACTTCCAAAGATTCTCCAAAACTGCAGAACCTGAAAAAATCTGTACTTTAAACGGTAAAAATTTTCATGGCAGATACACACAAACCATCCTACTTGAATTTGAGTAAATTTTGCTTAATCCATAGGCTAACTACACAAAATCAACAGCAACAATTACCTCCTGGTTATTACCAAAATCGTACCTGCAAGGACAGAAACGTTTTCGTATGGTCTTGCCTGCACCACAAGTCTCAGAACAAATACTCCACATTCCCCACTGTGACCATGAACAAGAAGCTCTGGTGAAATTACTGGGATAAACTGTCATTCGTTCTTCAGGCATTGCAATTTGTTTCGACGTTATCAGTGGTGATAGTGATGTGAATTCTGCTGCTGCACCGACCTTCTGATTTGATCTTACCATTTCCAGCCGTGGACAAAGGCACACAATTTGTTCCTCAAGTTTACCATCACAGTGACATTTAGTTTTTGTTGCTAAAAAGTAAGTGACACAGTTATTTGTCCTGATTTCCACTCTAATTAGAAACAAATCGAAAATAATGTTGAAAGATGACATATCTTTTAAACTGTCTTTTGGTGAGCAGATATGAGCAATGAAATGAAACAGAAACTAACAAATTCCAATACAGGATCGTGTTTTCGTTTTGAAGCCACCTATACAAGAAGTTTCTGAATTCCATGAAGACCACAAACAATCCATGTCATTATCACGACTGACGGTTGACATTATTTGACGAAAGCTGTGTTGGAAAAGATTATGGAAGTCCGACTGAACTGAATACAGACAAGGTCCTGCACTCTGTTCTCTTGTTACTAATCCTGATTCTCGCCCTATGGAGCATTCCTTAATGAAACATAATATCTCTACGACAGAATTACAAATTTATGATAGTTGAAAAGTTTTAGAAGGTAAAAATACCGAAAGAATGCAAAGGTCTTTTTCAGTGTTGCTATTTGATGTATTATCGTTTGCTGAAATACCATCAACGCAGTATCGAGTACGTATCCGATCACCCTAGATTGAAAATTCTGAAGATTTCGATTCAAATTCAGATATTTTAGGACATGTTATAAAATTCACAAATTCATATCGTACTAAGTATAAAAATATGAATCTCATATAATCCTCAAGTCTATTTCACATAATCTGGCTTTGAAAACTGATACCTGATTACATGACCTTGTATAACCGCACCATTCGGTCCAATGAGACCAACCGCATGTACGAGCATTGCTTAATTCAGGGCATGATATTTGGGCACAGCTATTTTCCTCACGCAGTTCTCCATCACAATCACAAAGAAACTCATCGGTTCTCGGTACAAAATCATATGTAATTCATCCAAACTTAGGATTTTTCCTTTTTTTTTTTTTTAAAGATAACCATTGTAAAAAACAGAAATAAAACTTTGAAAAGTTCTAAAATTAATTTGAACAAATTCTTTTGCTAAAACAAGAAGCTAAAAAATCACAATATATTTCTGAACAAATTTATTTGTCAGATAAATTATAGAGTACCTTGTTCAAACAGTCCAAATTTACGAACGGTTTCTGTTTGCCGACGTGTTCGTGTTAAGCTATCTAATCGTTTTACTGGTACAATCGGTTGCAAACCTTCAAAGCTCAGGTGTTTACTTACGCCAACGTGGCTCCTACTTTATGAGTTACAAAATTTGCAAACATTTTTGCTCAGCATAAACAAAAATTAATAACAAAATTTGAGAAATTGCAGCCAGATTATTTCATATCTAAACTGAGTTCAAACTTGATCTTAACATATTATTATTGCAAAATTCGGCTGCAAATGATTTTATCATGCCTTGTCTTTCATAATTTGATCTCCCATACTGCCCAAAGACAACAGGACGAAATTTGTGCTGCGGAGTAGGCCCCACTGGTATATGCTTTCGTATCAATTTTGAATAATATGAGGACCTGCTAAGTTCATAATTTTGCGGCACATCCTGAGAACATTTTCGGTGTCTGAAGAAAGAAAACCCTTTTTTTTTTTTTGAGATCTAATAACTCAGTTCATGTTAAATATTTGTAACAAGAAAAAAATAATGAAATATCCAACAAATATTTAAATAAGTAATACTGTTAAGTAACAGATAGAAATCTGATGATCGGTTTAGAAAAATAAATAGGCAATTATCACATTAGCGACAGCGATTCAAGGAATTATTAGATTGTCAAGACTGAGAATGCAAACTAATGAAGACATGGTTTTATGCTGCATGCAATAACCTTTCACGAGTTCCGCCACCACAACTTACGCTGCAGGCGCTCCACATTGTCCACTCAGACAGCTTACAACAATGACCTAAAAGTGCTTCATTAGAAACTTAATATGTTATGAGATCAATGATAGCGACAGCGGACAACCTGAACGTAAAAACTGGAATTTGCTTCAGCGAAGCAAATATCGAGAAGATTTGAGTATGAATGCACTGCAAGGAAAACAGTACAAATTTTATGGTTTTGATGTGGACGGGAAAGGCATACAATATTTCAGTACCGCAAACATTTCTAGTAATTCATTTTCATGCATCTTCTTTTTACTTTTTACCTACTTATCGGCAATGGGTAGCTTTCGACAATTCTGTCTATCTTCATTAGGATAATACGAATCAAGTAGCAGTAAGCTTGAAACTTTCAATATTCATGTTCCGGCATATCTCGGTATTCCCTAATCATTATCATTTCATAGGAGATGTTGACAAAAATAATTAAAAGCAATCAGTCCGATATTCGATATATGACTAACCTGCATCACACTGTTCACTGTCAACAGCATTTCCAGTGCAACCGTTATTGTCTCGAATAATCTTAACCACAGAAATATTTCCATCAACCTGGAAATGTATAAGTGCTTCATATATTCGGTTTCTTTATTTTCCTTGTACTCTTGTATATAAATAGAGTTTAATAAATTTTTGAATTAATGCGCAACTTACGAAGGAGTTAGTTGACATTAATGGATTACCACTGCGTTGCGCAGTATTACTCTGCATTTTAATGTCAACTTGATCATTTGCGGATCGATCACTCATATATAGAGGAATAACTTTCTGTTTGATACTGTTTGTTAAATCTGAAAGTTTTTCCTAACAATATTGAATTTTCCTCTCTTTCTCACTCATGAAGAAGTTAAGTTACACTTAGAAGTAAACAAACATGCATGCTGACCACTTCCTGAAGAGAAGCCTTCTTTAGCTACAGCCTTAATTACACCGTCTTTTACACATCTGAAAACAAAAAAAGGTATGCTGTTTTCAAGCTATAAGGATGACAAATTGATACACAAAGACTGATCACAAGCAAATGTTGCAAAATTAAAGTTCACCAAAAACATTGTTAAAATCTTTAACTGATGTATGATCCTGGTCTTATTATTTGCAATTGCTACTAATTGATATCAGCAAATTGATGTATTCATTACAAATCAGTCGTTTCCTTGATCTTAGCTCTAAACAATACATCATCTTACTTTCTTCTTCGTTCACGAGTTCCAGAACCACAGGTGACAGAGCATGAACTCCATGGAGACCATTCATCCCAGTAAGGACACACCGATTCCTGACAAAATCGAAACTCGCTCTCAGTACCGATACATTTCGCGCCTATCGGAAGGCAGGATCGTTGTCTGGAATAAAGTAATTTTATAAAAAACAACGAAAAACCTAGTAAATTTGAATATTTGCCGATACATGGAATGAAAAAAAAAAAAGTTTTAAAAGCTAATAAAGTAAATAGAATTGGGAACTAAGTGAGCCTTGAAATAGTGACTATGGCTACCTCATACACAATTTGCTTGAAAATGACCTGTTTTCTTGCCCATGCCCACAGGTGACACTACACGTTGACCAGGAACTCCATGAGATCCAGCTAGGACATTCTGGAAGATCTTGGCATGCTATCTGATCTTGTGCTGCACCATCGCAAAGCGAACTTATCAAATTATCTTTCAAACAGGTCCTGTAATGACCAGGTAGTACAGTGCTAGGCTGACATGATATGTCGAAATGAATTTGTATTAAATCTGATTAAAGATTGTCTTATTTGAATAGTCCTTAGATAAATGTTTAATTAGGAGATCCGTTATTCAATATTTGTCCGTATTGTCTGGAATTTTACAGTTTGTTAGAATATGTTCAGTGTTTATTGTTAAAAATTGTTTCTGATTTTATTCCCAAGATCTTCCAGCCTGATAGCAAGCTCTGACTTGGCTGTTAACATAACGTGTTAACAGTTGTCAATTTTTTGTTCAACTACGTCTTTTGTTCTAATCCAAATTTACTTGCAATATCTAAGAGTTTTAGGGGAAATTGATATATGCTAAAGTCCAACTTGTACTGTATGAAGAGTAAAGATCAGCGCTAGAGACAGCTTTTTACTCACTATAATCATGAATTCTCACTGCTTTTCCAGATCTACTTCCTCAATTTTTGTAATATTATTCAATAATTTCAATTAACGATAATCTTTATCTCAGTAAAATTAGAATTAGTCTCAAGCATCGCCTTCTCTGTAAAATACTCCTTTGCAAACTATTCGAATCAAATTCTATTTCACGAGATAGCTGACTTGTCGTAAAGAATACTTTCGTTAATAGAATGAAAATGAAATTTATATTTGCAAAGAGATTTGAAAGGAGCATACTATAGTGAACTCATAAGTTCTATTATGACTATCAACTATCAGCCAAGCCTAGTTTATTTCATGATACTCACTCACTTTGAACATAGTCGTTGTTATCAAATGCACATAACATTATGAGTGCTTAACTTCACCTTATGCGGAGTTTATTTCCTTTCGTACCGCAAGTTTCAGTGCACTGTGTCCACGAAGACCAGTCGGTCCACTGCGGACACGAATTCCTAATGCATACTTCATGTTCTTCTGGATCTCCGGTACAATTTTTGCTATCGTAGCAAATCCTTGTTCGATGCTGCGATGAAATTAAAATAAACACAGGCATTGAAAGTATGGAAAATTTGTTTTAGCATTTAGAAGTCATGCGAACAGAAATTCCTCTTTGCAATGTGAATTAAAGTCTAGAAAGTATTAATATCATTAGTTCAGTGGTGATAAAAAATTGACAGTCACTTTACCACTTTTTACCTACTTGGAACTATTAATTTCTGCAAATCCTTTAAATTGTGAAATGTGCCTAAAACAGAAAAATTCATTAGTTTAATACTTTTGTTCAAACATGGTACCTACCCTATGTCCATTACCACAGCTAACACTACACGTACTCCACGCTTCCCAAATGGACCAAGAAGGGCAAGGGAGTTGTTTGCACGCCTTTTTCTCAAGAGTTTCCTCAACGCATCTATTACCGCCTATGCATTGCCTGAAATTTTCAAAGTTTAAAAAGTTTGGACTTAAATAAAAGCCATTCAAATACCAAAGTTATTGCTAAACCAATATGAATTTGTGTTTTATATATTAAAAAATATACATTCCGACTAGAACGTAATACCAAAATCACAAGCATCGGCAGTAAAATTTACCTTCGTCTTATTTGTTGTCCTACTCCGCAAGTTACAGAGCATACTTCCCAGCTGCCCCATGCAGTCCATTGGGCACACTTCTCTACATTGCATGCTTCAATGCTCTAAACTTCTTGAAGAGTTTTCGTTTTTGATATGTTGCTTAAACAAAAGCTGCAGAAGAAGAAACAATGAATTTTAAATAAATTTTCGAAGCTTTTCACTTTTCTTTAATATGAAAGTTTCACCATGGATGGTCCATCACATTGCTGACTGATAGAACAGACACGCGATCGCGATCGCTCACCACCATCACAACTCCGCGAGCACGCGGTCCATTCTGACCAAGGCTTCCATTCTGGGCATGGAGCATTACTGCACAATTCTTCTTTCATGGATTCACCTAGTAAAATCAGATAAAAACAGCAAATAAAAAAGAATATGTAAACAAATGAGGGAAGGAATAAAATTTGTTGTAAATATCTTTGTTAGATGAATAAGTTTTTGGATAATTGCATTAAGCACTTACCTAAACATTGTCCATCGACTGAACAAAATCGTCTTCGCGTACTGATACCTATTCCACAAGTAACCGAACATGGAGTTTGCGGTGACCATTCCGACCAGGAAATTACCATACTCTCAGTAGGCTGCATCGACGTTGACAGTAATTGTACGGGGCCGTGCGGTACACCTTGCGATTGTAAAAGTTCTTTACTTTGTTTAGATTTATTGGATGGCTGTTTCTTGTTAATATAGCTGCCGGGCCATTCTTCTTCATTCAACAATGTTGCTTTGGGAATCGAACTGAGGGAAGAAATACCGCTTTGCGGACATGTCTGGAATTGTTAGAGTTTTAATAAAATACTGAAAGAAAGATGTCCAAGAACTTTCTATGAATCTAGATTCAATTTCATAATTATCCAATGCCTTACAAGTCAAAAATTATGCTGCGAAAATGCTTTTCTTAAGTTGTCATCAGAAATTAGCTCACAGTAAAACAGGGGTCAGGTCTTTTTGATTCGCAAGGAAGTGAATAAACTGAGCATGGCCAATTGTAGTCCGTTTTTTGGAGGTAAGATAATGACGGTACGTAACAATTGGCTCCTGAAAGTGGTATTTAATAATTATAGCATGAGGTCGAGATATTAGACAATTAGCACATTTGACTTATCAAGGAAATGAAAATGTAAAACCTTGGCATCTGCCATAAATTGATCCTTGTTGACCATGCCTTACAGAAACCGGTTTAATTGGTGACGAAAGCTGTATTTCGTTGGTTGAAAATGAATAACTCTATAGCTATCAAATCATTATAAAGCAAATAGGATGTTTGGGAATAATATTACCGTGAAAGTAATCCTACTATTCTGTTTATAATAACTCCTACAAGCTTTCCTTCACATATGAATCTAAATAAATTTGTACCGAAATTATATTAGAATTTTAGGTACTCTGTCCACATTTAAATACATTTGATGTTTTTCCTTCTATGTCTTTTATCTTCTACTTAGAAGATTTTTAAATTCTGTTTTGCACTTTAAGTTAGGTGTATTACTCGGAGTATACTGACTTGGATAATATTAGTACTAGCAGTAACATTTTGTAATGAACCTGTTTCGGTGGATAATTATCGCTGGTATTGGAATTTTTCAGTAAAGAAGATGGGTAATGATTGGCACGCGGCAATAACTTGTTGGTGTAAGGTGAAGATGAGGGATTAAAGGTACCTTGAGCCATTGATATCAACCCATCAATTACTGGTCTGACTGGTCCTGAAAAAACTAGTTTTTTTAACAAATTTTTATGCAAACATGAAACGCTTAACTTCTTAAAAACATCTGACTCCAAAACATATTGAAATATCTGTGCACAATTATAGGAAAGAAAGGCGAAAATTAGTTTCATGTTTATAAACAGACGAAAATATCTATGAAGAATGAAGATGATGGCTCAAAAATTACATTACATCAGGTCGTATTCACCTTGGCATGGCTATGCTTCTTATAGCCTTTCACTACTAGCATTAAATAAAAGTGGTGCTAAAATTAAAGCAGAGCAGTGCAATTTTTTAATGCTAAAGGTGCTTTGCTAATGAAATTATTTTGAATTTCTAAACTTCTTTGTTCATCTGCAACCAATCACTGTAATTCGAGTTTTTCGACTTTTCTCAGTTGTTCCGTTTTCCAGTCCGGCATCCGCAATGCCGCTCTTCCTGACCAGATTTATCAAAATGCTTCTCTTAACTTAGCTTTCTATATTATTTGAATCCTCACCACTAGTTCTCTTTCTGGTCGGACCTCCATTTTTAGAAAGCTGAAATATCTGTGCTGGGTCAGTCCATGACTCAAGTTTCTGCTTTAGCTCTAATTTTATCGCCTCTCCCAAATCACTTCCCGAACTTGCGTAACCATTTGTTACCGGACACTGATCAAGAACTTCGAATACTGTACTGATCGAATTGAAAGAAATATCCAGTGAAATACCGCTTGAATTCGAATTTGCACCATACAGCTGACAGAACCCTCTATTCTAAAATTAAAAGGTTTGTAGAGAAATGACCTTAGAGCAATGAACTTCTGAATGCTAAAAAATGGCGCAGTTGGCTGAAACTTTACCATCTTGAACAATATAAAAAATATTGCATTGTTGAGGAATAACAATATTCATTGCTATCTACAACATCTCGTTAAATCACTTTGAAGTTGCTATTTTAGTTTGTTGGTTAACCATCTTGAAGTTCCTAGTGCTGCGTACCTTATTTTCTTTAGGAATGAACAGTGCAGCTTTGCAATACTCAATATTGTCAATGCATCGTTCCGCACATCGCAATGGTGACGGTACCTCAATTCTTTGAAAAAATGAATCATTCTGGACAGTATGGAATTTTCGGATACAAATTCTCTTTCCATCGCAATCTTGAAAATGTGTTCTGATAATTCTGCAGTTTTCCTTATTTAGATTATAACAGGAAGAAATGCTTTAATTTGCTTTAATTTAAGTATTTACTATTAAATAACTCATATATTTTAAAATATATATATATATATATATTTATTAAAAAAAAAATTAACTCATATATTAAAAAAGCAAACTCACCGATTTCTAGAATAGAAAAGAATAACAAATGAAAAATATATGGTGACCATATCTTCATAATTGAAGAACGAAAGAGAAAATAACCGAACTTGCTAAGATCTGAAATAGTTGAAGAAGTCAAATTGAAATTTCATAGAGAAGAGTAGTGGAAAGAAAAGCTTATGGTGTTTAAAAGATGAATCAGATGGAATTTCTGAAGTTTAGGTATTTAATAGTAAAATATTTTATATTATTTCACTATTAGTTATAATTTATATAATATAATATATTGCCATTGATATGCCATTAATATTGAATACATAAGTAGCTTTCACTGTAAAATATATTTTGTTAAACTAAAAAGGACAGAGAAGTAAAAACGTCGCTTTGTAGACATATATACTATTAATGTTACGTGAATTATCTGGAAAGCAAAATCGAACTAGTTAATTTCCATGATCCTTTCTCTCTATCATACAAATAAGAAAACTAATTTTGGGAAGTTATGGAAAAAAGAAGTGAAAGAAAGAGGACTAACATAATCACCGAAATCGTCCTCATTCCGGTAATCCCAATCAAATCAATAACCATTATGCATTCAAATGAATGGAATTCGGTAACCAGTTCTTAGTTTTCACCGTGTTCAACCTTTTCCTTCCAAGAAGAATCTCAAGCAAAAGGGTAAAATGCAAACGAGCGATTTTTATATGATTCAAAATTAATTCTTATTTAGATTTCCCGACGGTTCTTTATTTATAAATCGTATGGTATGAAACAATTTTTCCATTTCTCTGTCTCTGAGGAATTGCAATTCTCAGTGGTGTATAACTAAATTCTTATAATATTCCTAAATTCCATTGATACGCCAATTCCAAATTTCATTAACAAATTGATATGCATATGAGATGTCTTAGTAAAGATCGTAATTTAAGCATTCTAGGCCATTAAATCTTATAAATACTATAGACTTGAAAGGCAAACAGTAAAGTGAAGAGTGAACAGTTTTTATACCAAATGGACTTTATTAATCAACCTCAAAACTCTTCAAGAATTGCCAAACTGCAAACCCACTGAAAATAAGCTAAATGATTATAAAATTATGCACAATTGTTGATACCATTTTATTTCTGATCTTTAATTGTGAACTTTCTGACGATAACTGGAATTACATCTTCTGTACTAATACTCAATTATTAATTCATCTGATTAGCTTGCATTAAAGTGTTATAAAATTTATTTAAAAAAGGATGCTAAGGAGAATATCTTTTCACTCACGTTCCAGGTTCACGTCCTAAAAATAACTTCAAGCAACGAGATTATGCAATTAAGTAACAAATGACTATGCAAGCAGATAGAAAAAATTCAGCACAATTTGTCAAACTTGTCATTTTAAGCACAAAGTAAATGAATCCTGTAATTGTCCTCTCTGTCTAAAACAGTAAGAAAACATTGAATTCAAACAGCAATAGTTTTATTTCTTTATTATTATTTGGGGAAGAGAATTCATTGAAACAAGAAATATATAAACTTCTTCGTATTGTTAAATTTGTATGGATGAACACTTGAAATGAATACTGAAATTAAAATGAAAAATACTCAATTCATTTTATACTAGGGTACTATGTCATATTACATCTTAGGGACTCTCCATATATTTTAATAATAAAGCCCATCCTAAATATAACTACGCAATTTTTGATTTTCTTTTTTTGAATTTTTGTTAAAGTTCGGTGCATTTACTTGAATTAAACGAATGATTGCAAAATTAAAGAAAAAAGAAAACGTCTGAATAACTAAAAATAAGAAAAAATACATTATAGTAATACAATTGTTCCATAATATATGGCATGATATCATATCAGCAATAGATATTATCACAGAAATCAGCTTATAAAAGAAATTTGCTCCTGTCAATCAGTCATGTTTTTATCATTTCTCGTTCCATATATAAAATTGTAAACGAAGAAATTATACATTTGTGCAACTTTTTTGGTAAAAAAACAATATTAAACACTTTGTTTTTACCTATTCTCAACAGGTACACATAAGGGCTTATTCAAGCCTCCCTCTTCAACTTAACCTTTACTTTTTTGTATTTGAGGGGTATAATTATAGTGATTTTCTTAAAGCATCTTATTAACCTTACAAGACAATAAGAAGAATGAAGGTAAAAGTAAGTAAATTATGTGAACATAAAGAATGAGAAATATCTTGAAACACAATTTTTTTTAATCTAAAGCTATAAAAAAAACGGATACCAAAATCAAATAATATACATCGATAAAGTTCAACTGATGACTTTTACCACTTCTTATGATAAGAATACTGAAAATGCCATCTTTCTGAATTCATCGATTTGCAATTTTTTAACTTTAAAAAAAGCTAAAGTATATAGCTTTCTTAGCAAAATGTGACTGTCGAAGGTAAACTTATCGTTAGATTCAGACGGAATAAACAAAGAATTTAATTCGAAATAAACAATTTGGCCTCTAATCACTGTTCATCGCCTTTACTGTTTATCGTCGCTTATGCTTTAATAAAGCAATTAACTATACAATTTTTAATTTGTCATTTTAATTTAATTTTAAATTAACTCTCTGGAATTTCACGATCCAAAAATCCCTAGCATACTTCGAAAGTGTAAAGTTTTTTATACAGCCCAATTAATAAACATTACAATCATTTTTTGTTTCAACAATGATTGCTAAGCGAGTTAATAATCTGAAAATGCATGAAATAGTTGTTAGATCATTTCATTTAACTTTGCTTGAAAACTCAAGCCTATCAATAATTTTCATTTCATCCTTTTCAAGATGATCTCTGTGACGAAAATAACTTCAAAAATGAAAATATGACAAAGGACAACTTCTGAAGTGAACTATTCTTGAATCATTGTTTTAAAGAATTGATCATGTTTAAATGTTATTAAATTGGACCACGTAAGAAATTCCATCCTTTGAAGTATTAATCCGTAAATATGCGGCATTTGAAATTTGATGAATTCATTCAGTCTCATCGCTAATGTAAATATTTATGCAAGAAAGAAACCGATGTTTACCAGAAAGTCGATTTTATCGATTAAGCAACTTATGAGGAAAATTGTGTTTCTATGTAGTTGTTTTTTCCAATTTTAAAACAGATCTAAATTTTCATTTTGTTAGTTATGGATGCTTTCCCTCACATTTTTGTTTCTGTTTCTGTTTCGCTTGCCGAATTCTTCATTTCATTGAATTCTGATTCTCTTTTATGAGCTATTCAAAAATTGCCTCATTTGTCATTACTTGTTTGATTGCACACGTCCTTACAGATAAAATTTCTTTTGTACTAATGCTTTTTTGTACCTGAAGAAATCGATGGTAGAAGGAAAAGGGAACCTACTGGAGAAATATAAGTTAGAAATGATATTTAAAAGATGATTTGACTTCTTTTTTGAATCTGAGACACGTAAGAAAAAAAATAAGCTGATACCTTTAGTAAGTACAAACGAATTTATTACTACTTCATCTATTAACTTGAGATTGATGATAATATTCAACTATCACTTTTCCTGCAATCCTTACATACACGTAGTATTTCAATTAGGACTTCGTTTTCGATTCCTAGACTCAGAATGTATAACTTGGCTACTATTTACAAAGTTCTGTATTCTTGGTATATATATTTAAATCTTTCTCTTTCACAAAGGAATTTTGCTTCAAATAACAATGTTCTGTTAATGGGTAAATATGCGAAACCAACATTCCTTGGTGTCATTTCTTGAATGGAGTATTATTCATTTTCGAAGAAATGATATGATCACCTCTACCTGGAAAATAATCATAAATTTATCGTATCGGCACAACAATAATTATCATTTCTATCTTTCTAGCAAACGGTCTCATTTCAACAAACTTCATTTCAGTATTATCAGATATCAACACAGGAATGTTGACTCTGTTTGCACAGTTTTGCTATCACTGTTATTATCATTATTGTTAGAGGAACTCACAATGACTTACCAAATGTACTCATCCGGAGATTATGAACCTTACTTTTTAGCACTCGCTAATATCATTTAATTTCTATGCAATCGGTTCATTTTTCTATTATAGTTATTCTGTCATCTTAATTATTTCCATATCTTCCTTCGAATATTTTCTCTACTGCTTAGTCACTAAAATTTGCATTTTAATTCGTCATATTTCATGACTGTTGTGTTGTGTTCTCAAATTTGTGTCAACTTCAATCAATTCGATGTCAATCTGAATTACAGTGATGTGCGAAGTATTCTCGTCATTTCATTTCGCCCAAACTTTTATTTTCTTCTTTTATTATCTCCCCACTTTCTGCACTTCTCTATAATCGATATTTATATTTTCGTAAGAAGGATCCAACGTATCAATTTTCGTGATTCTTTACTTATTCAATGTACCATTTCGTCTATTGTAGTTCTCTATTATCACTTGTTGTTAACTGTGTATTCTATCCAATAAGGAAATGTCTCTTAGAGATCGAAATGACTTGAAAGACTGATATATATTGTCAGTTAACTACCTCTTTAACAACTAAACATTATAAGAAAGTTTCAACTTTGTACCTTTACTTTTACATATCATATCCGGCAGCTGACAACTCAGTCTTCCTAAAGAAATGCCATTTTAACTTGTAATTACTCTGTAATTACAAAGCCAATTTTGTCGGTTCCTTAGTTTTGCTAAACTCCCATATGATCAGCTAACATTTTCAGCTTCCTCGGTCCTTCAGCTCAATCTCAATCCTTATGTTTACTCGAGCATACATTTCGAGATTGAGTCACCACCGTTTCATAACTCTCCATTCGATTTATCACGACAGTTCACTTTTGCTGTTCCTTTTATCTCACTTCGAGTAGTTTTTTGGCTTTATACGAACAAGGCTTTCAACTCCTTCAAGAAATGATTGATATTCTTTCCGGGCTTGAATATTTCAACTCACGCCTTCTTTTGCTTATTTCTCTACAAGGATAAATTTTATGTTTGTCTTATTTATTTTGTGTCAATGTGTATTTAATTTCAGATAGCACGAATTCGTCTCTAAAATTCTTTGATATTTGTTTTGAGA